CAAAGTGAGCCTGAACTAAAATGTGTTAAATAATATAGCAAGTCTCGCATTTTGAAAGACTGAAATTATTATTTCGACCAAACATGAAACTTTACATGCTGATAAGGTTTAGGTTTAACAGCTTTTAAGATAAGAAAATTCATACGCTTATGTATTTTTAAAAGACTAACAAGTCTGAAAGTACAATACGATTTGGATCTTCGGGAGTACCACCTATATTTCGAAAACGATTATGAGACTTAATTTTAAATGCTAACATCGAGTTGTCTAAACAGTGCCAACCATAGTGTTTTTACTGCCCTAAACTAAAATAGTAGATTTTGTTATTCAGTTTGTGTTATCTACGGCTAGCGAAATGATGCGGTTTTAAAAAGAAAAAAAGTACTATTTTACATGGAACATGTGCGTTCTTTATTTTGTGCAAAACAAATGAATTTGGAATTTTCATTAGAAACCAAACTGTTACTGGCAATGTAAAGAGAACTCTCAGCGCAATGTATACAAAAGAGTGAATTTACCCTCTATTGGATACTCCATTCAATGACTACGGTTCGGTCGTGATATGATGACTGTTGGCAACGTTTTGATTTCATCACAGATATCCATTGCTTTAATACCTGTCAATTGAGATTATTGATGTTTAAGAGCAATGGCAATACATGCAGTGGTTTCTGATGCTGACGACGTCCTAATTATCATTTTTTTTAAGTTTCGATACAGGAACTTAAGTAAGTTATTGTGCTAGTTTAGTTGTTGTATGATGAATGTTAGGAACCAAACTATTTTTATCTGTTGATATATATTTAGAATTAGTTCACCTTTCCCTTGTATTCAAACACAAATATATTTTGCTTTCAGCGAATTTTAGTCTTTGGTTGAATGTTTACTAACCACCATCTCTTTGGCAAATGTTTTTACATATGCCAGGACCATTGTAAATCTCCCATCATATCATAAAAAGATGGCATGGTTATTTATTAACTACTATAGTTTATAAAATAAGGTACAGTAATGTTATTTTCCAAATATTAAAATCTCTACCCGACGTTTCGAAAAACATGGGCTTTCTTCATCAAGAGATAATGGTATGACATACAAAACGTACTTAAGTTTGAATAAAAAGGAAAAAAAAATATTTATTAAATGTTTATCCGAATCATGTTTAGAAATTAAAGTTTGGTTGTTGTTTGTAGTTATGCACAAAGCTACACAATGGGCTATCTGTGCTCTGCCCACCACGGTATCGAAACCCGGTTTCTAGCATTGTGAATCCGCAGACATACTGCTGTGCCACTGGGGGGCATTAAAGTTTGGAAAATTAAAACTGATGGCAAATCTTTTAACTGTTATTCCATAAATATCAAAGATATTGCGCAAAGAAGCCAGTCTTTATATCCAACCATATAAGAACTGTATTAAAACTATTTAGAGTGCTAATTCAAATATTCTCTTGATAATTTACTACAGACTGTATATTGTTTAAGAGATTCCACGTTTAGACTGTCCAGCTATATGTATATATATATTAGCCAAACAAATTGCTGATTGAGGTTACGCTTGTAAAACGTAAAATGGATCATTAAGAAAATAATATATTAAATTCGGCTCTTGTAAAACTAACTCCTATTTTTTATTATACTATAAACTGTGATGCTTGCATACAATCGAAATGCACATAATTAATTGTTTTCAATCATAGCAACTTTATAGATTTATTTATTTATTTAAACACGTATAAAACTTTCACGCCCTGTTATACATTAAATAAAAGTACTGGTAACTTTATAAAAAGGGTCTTGACATTATACATGGTTTGGAAGAACGATTGTACAGATAGGTTATGTATGTTGTTAAGCGCAAAAGTACACAATAGGCTATATGATTTGTGTCCAGCACAGGTATCCAAACCCGAATTTTAGCGTTTAAGCCTCGATACGTACCACTAAGCCACTAGGGGTTGTACAGATAAACATACAAATTACAAATAAAATATCGGTGTCTTGAGAAAGTGTTTATTCAATGCGTCATTTTGTACTATTTTCTCATGGGACTAATCGGGAAGTAAACGTCATTTTGTACTATTTTCTCATGGGACTAATCGGGAAGTAAACGTCATTATGAAATATTGAGCAGGATAACGATCGGATGTGGTGAGTCATACAAGAATCATTATGAGAAAGTTTGGGGATCTTACACTGAAACTTATTATGTTTCTTTACAAAATAAAAATATCAAATACGAAAAAGGAGTAAACAGAACTAATTAAACACAAAACTCTTTACTTAAGCGATAAGGTTACCATTTTTACCACACATTTCCACTGAAGTCAGGTCACAAATTTGTTCTATTATGTTATTTAATCTTCTTTAACATTCAAGATCATTAAACCAAAATTACGCTACTTTCACCTAGACCAAATACACTATGCATTAGTATTCGCTGGAATAAGCAAAAAAAACTCACGTTTCGAATTGCAAACTTCTTTATGTTTAAGGTAAGATTTTAACTGATCAATAACTTCTTTATGTTTAAAGTAAGATTTTAACTGATCAATAACTTCTTTATGTTTAAGGTAAGATTTTAACTGAACAATAATTTCTTTATGTTTAAGGTAAGATTTTAACTGAATCAATAACTTTATGTTTAAGATAAGATTTTAACTGATCAATAACTTCTTTATGTTTAAGGTAAGATTTTAACCGATCAATAACTTCTTTATGTTTAAGGTAAGATTATAACTGATCAATAACTTCTTTATGTTTAAGGTAAGATTTTAACTGATAAATAAGTTCTTTATGTTTAAGATAAGATTTTAACTGATCAATAACTTCTTTATGTTTAAGGTAAGATTTTAACTGATCAATAACTTCTTTATGTTTAAGGTAAGATTTTAACTAATAAATTACTTCTTTATGTTTAAGGTAAGATTTTAACTGATCAATAACTTCTTTATGTTTAAGGTAAGATTTTAACTGATCAATAACTTCTTTATGTTTAAGGTAAGATTTTAACTGATCAATAACTTCTTTATGTTTAAGGTAAGATTTTAACTAATCAATAACTTCCTTAAAATCTAACTCCGTAGATTTTACTTAACAACTATCTCCTTCAACAGTTTGTGACTCAAAAACCATCTGAGATACTGAAGACTGAGAAAGGTCCTCATTCTAGGAATGAGAACCCTCTACATAACAGGTATATAGGGCTTCATAAATCTTTTTAGGGGTGAAAAATAATGGTTTTCCAAGTTCTGAAAAGATTCAGTAATTTGCGACCAAAATGTATAAAATACTATCACATAAACTATACACATAAAGCAATCCCATTCCCAGTTGCATTTCGAATATATATATAAATCATTTATAATCAGATATTAACATTTGAAAAATACCAATCCATCACCAATGTACAAAAGTTAAAGCCTATAAGAATTGTCTCAAACAGATAAAAAGGGATTAAAATTTAACAAATTATAATTTTACACAACATGATACCAGACATGTATAAAATTACTGATGTTACGTATCTGCTTGTTTGTTAATTACCGATATAAATTCTTTCCGAGAAACTTCAGTGATACAAGTCCTTTCTTGATTAACCCAGTTTATTCTTTCTCGATACAAATTTTAGTAATTCACAGAATTTCCACAGTCACTTTAAACTTAACAACCTTTATAACACACGCTATAAATCCCAGCGATTCACACACTTTACTTACGGTGCTTACTGTTCGCTTGACTCAATTATCTATCACTTCAATCACACTGGTTTTTCTCGCAAAGCTTATATACTAAAAAAAGAGGGCGTCTTGAACAAACTCAGTCTTCCGCGATAATTCATGATCCTTTCAGAAACTTCGGCGCGCATGCTCCCAGCGTCGCGTGACTTCCACTGTCATAACTGTAATTATATTAACTCTTTTCAGGGACAGTATTCCTGAGTTGTAGATAATGTTTTCTTGAACACTGATATCCGTGTCTATTTAACGTTATCTTATTTGTTATTTTGTAACAGTGACAATGTCAAAAATATACATTTAACGCAGTAATACTGATAATTTTAACAAATCTTTCTTTAGTGTTAACACAAAACACTGTGTTACGTCTCCGTTTGTTAATTAACTTTCCGTAACTTTGTTCCAACGAAACTTTAACGACACAAGTCTTTACTTAATAAAACTGGCTTATTCCTTCCGAATATAACTTAACCGATA